TTGAGCCCAGGAGTTGGAGGTTGCTGTGAGCTGTGATGCCACGCACTCTACCCAGGGGGACAGCTTGAGGCTCTGTCTCAAAAAAAAAAAAAAAATTAATGTGGGAATTTTGTGACTATAAAACCAAAACATGTTTATTGTAGAAATAAAAATGTACAATGCTGCCTCGTCCCCCGTAGACCAGTGTTATGGCGCCAGCCAGGTTCAAACCTGGCCCGGACCAGCTGAACAACAATGATGATAACCTCAGCAAAAAAATAGCCAGGCATTGTGGTGGGCACCTGTACTCCCAGCTACTTGGGAGGTTGAGGCAAGAGAATCGCTTAAGCCCAAGAGTCTGAAGTTGCTGTGAGCTGTGATGCTATAGCACTCTACCAAGGGTGACATAGTGAGGCTCTGTCTCCAAAAAAAAAAATAATAATAAATATATATATATATATATATATACACACACACACATATATACAATGCTATAAAGAAAGAAATAAAAATAATGCTATCATCACTCAACAGTATTTTGTTAGTATTTTGGTGTCTAGCTTTCTATTATAATATAGTTTTCTAGTATATTTTTGTACTATCTGTTTTATCCTTTTTAAAACTTTATATCACAATCATTCATTTTCAAAACCATTTTAATGTGTAAGTGGAATTACCATGTTTGTTTGTATCTACACTTAGCCCAGAAGCCTCCTATGATTTGGAACACCGGGTTTCTAATTGTTTGTTAGTATGAATAGTGCTGTGATGAGTCTTCCTGTACACGTCTGTGTATATGATGGTATTTGTAGGATAAATTCCTGAAACGGAAGTACAGAGTTAAAGGTATGGACGTTTTGAAGCTTTTGATGCATACTACAAACTCAGCCCACAGAAAGGCACAATTCTAATTCCCACCAGCAGTGAGTAAGGCTTTTTCCTCCCACACCCTCAGCAGCAAAGCTTTCTTGATTTGACAGATGAAAAATGTATATTATTGGCTTTTTTCACTTTGTATTTCTTTAAGTGAGAGTACTTTTTTTGTGTTTATTGACTATATGCTTTTCTTCTTTTGTACACATCAATTGCCTAGGCTTTCTTCTTTTTTTTTTTAAGTTAAAGTGTTCATCTTTTTTGTATTGATTTCCAAGAGCTTTATTTTTTAACACAATTTTGAACATATACGGAGCGAGGCAGACTGTGCAGTGAACCTCCATGAACCCCAGGTGAGCTTTAGCAACTAGGAATTTATGAACAGTTGTGCCATCTGTGCGCCCCTTTCCCCTCCCCTATTTGATTTAAAGCAAATCCTAAATATTTTATCATTTCCTCCATAAATATTCAGTGTGTAGCTCAAACGGATGAGGACTCTAATCGTTTTTCAATGTAGGAAAGGTATTGACATTTTGTTTTCACATGTACTGCATATATTTTCCCCCAAATTTTTGTTTGCATTTTAATGTTGTTTATGGCATTTTTGTTTTGCAATGCTGAAATCTAAAGTTAGTCAGACTTATACATCATTCTCTTCCCTTCTAGTTTCTTCCCTTGCCGTTAGGCTTATTGGAGGCTAAATAAGATCTTGTCAAGCACTAGATGAGATTTCACCTTCCTGTGGTGTGATTTATTACAGAATATTCATGACAATGCTAAGTAGTACGGGAGCTGGCAAACATCCAAATCAGGTTCTTGTTTTTTTAACGCCTGTGTTGATCTAACTCTCCATAGCCCTCAGATGTCTGTTGTCTCAACTTCTAATATGTGCTTTTTCTCCATCCTAATTCACTGTTTCTCATTCCTTGTTGTTTATGACAATCCTTCCTTCCCGTGACTTCTGTCCTATGGACAGACCAGGTGTCCAAACTTGGTAGGTCTATCTATGTGCAAAGTTTGAACAGTGGCTGGACAGTAGAGTGCACAGACTCTGTGGACTCCGTGTGGTGTCCGGGTGGTCTGGTGGTCTTGGTGGTCTTTGTTAGATGTTTCCACGTGTCCGTCTTCACTGTGCTCTGGCTGAGTGAGCACGTTCACCTGCACTCATGAGCATGCAGTTTCTTCTGACGCCCCACGCGCTGCGGTGTAAGGATGAGCAGTAATGTGTGCGGAGGGATTGCTGGGTCCAGAACATGCATGTGAAACCCCGTCTTCTCCTCAGGCATCCAGTGTCAATGGGACAGATGATGAAAAGGCCTCTCACGCAAGTCCAGCTGACACACACCTCAAGTCCGAGAATGACAAGTTGAAGATTGCATTGACACAGAGGTGAGGGCTGTTTAATACCCAGACCCTGTTTCTTTAAGCCAAGCACGTCCCTGGAAGCCTTTCCTGTTGGGCAGGGTTTCAGGAAATTGGAAGAAAAGACCTAACCCTACTCAGAGTGCCCAGTCTTCTCTTCCGGTGAAAGGAAGACCAGCTGGTGTCATGGCATTTCTGTCTGGGTGACCACATCAGTAACAGTTCACGTGTTCGAGTGTGTTAATGCAAGAGTATGTGACAACATGAGCACAAGTGTGGAGAGAGGGTCAGCGTAAGAGAAATACATATAGAACATGTATTTGAAGAAGATATTTCTTTTAGAATATGAACTAGAACCATAAAATAACATAGGGGTAAAGTTAAAAGAAATGTACAAGATCTGTATGAAGCAAACTTTAAAATGATTTTGAGGATCATAAATCATTTAGCAAATAGTAAGATAAAGTTCTTTTGGCTGGGCATGGTGGTTCACACCTGTAATCCCAGAACTTTGGGAGACCAAGATGGGAGAAGTGCTTGATGCCAGGAGCTCAGGACCAGGTTGGACAATGCAGCAAGACCCCATGTCTACAAGAAAATAGAAAAATAAAATCAGCCAGATGTGGTGGTGCACACCTGTAGTTCCAACTATTCAGGAGGCTGAGGCAGGCCAGGAGTATCTCTTGAGCTCAGGAGTTCGAGGTTATAGTGAGCTATAATCACACCACTGCACTCTAGCCTGAGTAACAGAATAAGACTCTGTCTTGTAAAAAAGAATAATAAATAATGTATATATTCTATTGAGAAGTGGTTAAAAAGCCCTAGAAGTATCAGTTTCCCCTAAATTGATCTATAAATTTAACACAATCTCTATAATGATATCTGTAAGATTTTAATTTTTAATGGCTGTACCAGATAGTATCTAGAGAATGTGGTTCATTTCCTGAAGAGTGGGCTCTTGGGTGCCCTTGGGGCTTCCTGCTCACCTGGCCAGGGGTTCTGCCTGCTTTCCTCAGTCTCCCCTAAACCAAGAAGCTGCCGTCCTCAAGCTACCCATTTAAGAACTGTGTCATCTTGGAAGCTTTGCTCAGGTTGCTATAACAAAATACACATGAACTGGGCAGTTAAGTAACAAACTTTTATTTCTAACAGTTCTGTAAACTGATTTCCAGGTGATAAAGTGACTTCTTGCCCAAGGTCACATGGCTGGGGATTCCTTTTGTCCCCTTGCACTGCCTGCCATCCACTCATGGCTTGTGGTTGCAGTCTCTTTAGGAACCCGAGGCGACCAGGCACATTGCACAGGCAGGGCCTCCGGGGGCTGGACACCAACCTTCTGCTCAGCCGGCCCAGCCAGCAGGAGGAGCTTAATTCCTGTGATCCAGCACAGGACCCTTATATTGCCCCCCTGCCTAGGCTGTGGGTCTTTTTCAAGTACTTCAAAGGACACAGCTGAGACCAGTCTCTTTTCTTACTCATCAGGCAATTGTGAGAGCTATTTTTAGTTGTTGAAGTTGCAGTGGGCTGCCTGGATGAAAATATTTCACCCCTAAAAATAAATGTTTTCAAATCTTGAGTTGAATGAACATTGAGTTACAGGAATGGGCATGAATCTGTTTCCCTAAATTAGCTTAAATTCTCTGTCATCAACTCTAAAAACCACCAGGTTATAAATTTTACTATTTTTTCAGTCAAGAGTAATTACAACTGAAACCGAGCATTTTCCAGTTGTACTCTTAGGTCCTTAAACCAATGGATAAAAGATTCCAGACTGTTCACACACAGTTTACTTATAAAAATGTAAAAGCCTTTAGAAAGAGGACTCTCCTCTGCAGCACAAACCTCCTGGTGGGTTTGCTGGGTAAGGCTCTGTCCTGTCACTTCAGGTCCTGTTAGGCTTCAGATATGTGGGCTCCAATTAAGGAATTAAAGGGGGGATTGAAAGGGAGCAGTGACTAAGGCAAGCCTGACTCCTATTTTTTAAACTTCTTCCTCACCGAGCATATAGAACAATGGTTCTCAACCTTCCTAATGCCGTGACCCTTTAATACAGTTCCTGTGGGTTGTGACCCACAGGTTGAGAACCGCTGACATAGAAGATAAAAACCCAAGTGAGGCCTTTGTGATGACCATGGCCTATGTCTCTCAGATTGCTGGTCTCCTCACACCCTGAGGGGAAGTGGGGCCAGTGCTCCTCCCACACCCCAAGTTTAGAACCCCTGTTCAGCCCACAGGGTGTGAATTCCTCTTGCTGTCCCCTCTGTGCTCAAGCCCTGGGCTCTCAAATCTGGATTCCTTTAACGCTGGTGGGGAGGCACAGGTTATAGTGGGGCTATAAACACCTGGGGTCTGTGTTTCTTGTCCTGGGTCCTGGAGGTATCCAAGACCTTTGGGAGATTCTTTTTTTTTTTTTTTTGAGGCAGGAGCCTCAAGCTGTCCCCCTGGGTAGCATCTCAGCTCACAGCAACCTCCAACTCCTGGGCTCAAGCGATTCTCCTGCCTCAGCCTCCCAAGTAGCTGGGACCACAGGCGCCCACCGCAACGCTCGGCTATTTTTTGGTTGCAGCCGTCATTGTTTGGCGGCCTGGGCTGGATTCAAACCCACCACCTTAGGTGTATGTGGCCGGCGCCTTAGCCACTTGAGCCACAGGCGCTGAGCCGACCTTTGGGAGATTCTTAAGGGGACCCCTGGCCTGTCCCATCAACTCAGGACCTGTTCCTGAGAAGGAGCCGGCATAACCGGGCTCCTTGGCAGCAGGTCAGCAGGGATTTGGGGATGGGGGTCTCTGCCACATTCTGCAGCCTTCATTCTTAGCTCTGTCTCTGCATTCTGTAACAACTCTGCTCTCCTCTAAGGTGACTCTTTAATTAGATAGCCAGCAAGGTGATGTCTTTGCACCACAGGGGCTCATCCTTCTTGGCACTTCATCCGTGCAGCCAGGCCCACGAGCCAACCCATGGGGCTGAAGAATGGCAGAGTCCCCCCTTGGCCAAGTGGGTAGAGGCACAGCAGGGTGGACAGCACCCACCGCATCCTCACTGCTTGTCTTTCCCCACAGCGCCGCGAACGTGAAAAAGTGGGAGATTGAGCTGCAGACCCTGCGGGAGAGCAATGCCCGGCTGACCACGGCGCTGCAGGAGTCAGCGGCCAGCGTGGAGCAGTGGAAGAGGCAGTTCTCCATCTGCCGTGATGAGAACGACCGGCTCCGCAGCAAGGTGGGCCACGGGGGTGGAGGGGTCGGGGGGTGGCCTCAGTGGGGGCCTCAGGGTGGGCCACAGGAGGGGCTCCCCGCTGGCTGGCATGGGCAGCAGGACATGGGGCCACCACGGTCCTCTGTCTCTTTGTCCTCATCCCCAGGGCCAGGGGACGTCTTGCTGCTTCTGCTGAGGGAATGCCCCTCCTTCTCCTTCCTTTTTAGCAGGACGGTAACTATGTAAATGATATGTTAATATTACCTTCACCAAACCAAGTGTTACAATTGATATTGCTAAGGAGATGTCAGCCTTGTCCCTCTCAGAGTGCCCTCTGATGCTAGTCATGGGCCGGCCCCTCACTGTGGGTGGCCTCCCTTGGTGTTCAGAGGGTTAGTGACCTTCACTACACCAAAGGGGTCCAGAGAATAAGCGAGAAGCCAGGTTTAGGAAATGATGGGGAGCATTTGCTTCTATTCTGTTCATCATTTCTCAATGTGTGAATTTAGAAGTGAGAAAAGGAACACGGCACTAGAGAGGACAGGTGGGTGACCTGGGTGGGTTGCCCACTGCCCTCTGACCCTTTCCTGTAATTAGTCACTCACACTCTCTGTGGTTCTGCTGGATTGATAGGTGGTTTAGGGGTGACTGGAGACTCCACCTCCTCCCTCTGCCCCAAGGTTTGGGGCTTGTGTGCTAACCACATGTCAAGGGTGGTTAAGCCCCAGCTGTGAGTACATGGGGCTTTGGACTCTGTGCCTCAGGGAGGGTTTCAGGGGACACGTGCCATTCAGAACGGTGTTCACCTTCCCTCAGCCCCATTTATACCTGCACAGTGCCCCAAGATGCAGTGCAGGTGGCACACAAAACTGCCTCATGTCACGTCCACATTCCATGTGGGAAGATTCAGCAGGGCACCAGGCCACTGGCTAACTGTGCACATCCCCGTTCCAGTCCTGGCAGACCTGCCTGCCGGGCAGCACGGTGGGCCCCAGGGTGGTTGCAGAAGGGTTGGTCATCCTCTTTCTCATTCTTCAGACAGAGAGCTCAGCTCCTCGCTGTGGGCTGGAGATAGGGACCACAGGCAGAATGGGGAGGGAGGAGAACCACCATAGGGAACTTGCTCCCATGAGCAGCATTGACTTCCCTGGTGGAGCCTCACATCCAGGGCTGGAGGTGGCAGTTGGTGGATCTCCAGGAGCAGTGATGCCAGGGGTTTCAGCCTCGAGGGTTGGCACCAGCCACGTCTAAGAAGTGTCCTGATGGTATCCACCCAGTGCCCTTCATACTGAGAGCTGTTGCCGCCTGGTGGGAGGGGTCCGTCCCTGCAGTCTGCTTATGGTTACGTGCGGGGTCCACTGTACATTGTGGCCCCAGGAAGTGCTCAGCATAGGTGGCAATGTCAGGGTGTCAGGCCTAGGCACTCTTACTCCACATGGGGAGCCCTTCTGAGGGTACGGACTCGGCATTCATCCTCAAGGAGGCCACAGGCCAAGCCCCTCTGTGCACCAGGAGGGAGGGTCACCTTGATTTACAGTGTAGGAAATGCCATCGCTTCCCTTTGGCAGTCATGTCCCACAGGGTAGCTCAGTTCTCTTTCTTGCTGGCTTAAACCCTTAAGATGAAACAGAATAATTGAGGACATGATTAAAATGATACAAAAGTCATGCTGGGAAAGTGCAGTTCAGTTCAGGGGCCATCTGCCCCTTGCCTGTGACAGATTCATAAAGCAAACCTAAAATTACTCCTGGGGCCATGAGAGAAAACCAGGAGCCCAGAGCAGCCTGAGACCAGGTTTCGCCATTTATCTGACTGCCAGTGCTGGGGGCATCCCTGCAAGGGAGGGCACAGCCCCGGGGAGGAGCTGTAGGGGTCTGTTCATAACCACAAAGGGAAATGTATACGTTGATTGCGTTTGGCCTGTTTTAAAAGATTACAGACACATAGCTGTGTCCACCCCTTGTCTAATGACGGAAGTAAAGTAACACCACTGCTTTAATATGTGGCCTTTGCTAAAGATCGACAAGCTGGAAGAGCAGTGCAGTGAGATCAGCAAAGAGAAGGAGAAGAACACTCAGCTGAAGAGGCGCATCGAGGATCTGGAGGCAGAGCTTCGAGACAAGGAGACGGTGAGTACTGGTGCTCTGAGTGGGGCCCTGGCATCCTCCAGGCCCTGGGAGGGGATCCCTACCCAGGGACACAGCTGGTGGCATGGGGCACATGACTAACACTGGCCACCACCTCAGTGCTAGCACAGAGGCTGCCAGGAGCCACACCAGAGTGCACACACTCAGGGGGAGAGGCCTCACCGTCCCCTGAAGCTTCCCTGCTATGCACATCCAGTCTGTCACTTGGCCCAGGAGGAGTGGCACATTTTATAAATAACGTGTCAAAATTAAGTTCCACTGTCAGATGAATGCAGCTAGAGCCTGCCACCAGGCATCTGCTTACTGTGGGGCAGAGCAGTTCAGGCCACACATGCTAGAGATGGGCAGGTCCCCGAACCACTCGAGGCCTCAGTTTCCCCATCTACAAAGCAGGAGTCACGCGTGTAAGGACATCTGCCTTGGCTCGGTGCCTGTGGCTCAGGCGGCTAAGGCGCCAGCCACATACACCTAAGGTGGCCAGCTGGTTCGAATCCAGCCCGGGCCCGCCAAACAACAATGACAGCTGCAACCAAAAAATAGCTGGGCGTTGTGGCGGGTGCCTGTGGTCCCAGCTACTTGGGAGGCTGAGGCAGGAGACTCACTTGAGCCCAGGAGTTGGAGGTTGCTGTGAGCAGTGAAGCCATGGCACTCTACCCAGGGGGATAGCTTGAGGCTCCATCTCAAAAAAAAAAAAAAAAGGACATCTGCCTTTTTGTGGTGGTGTGCGGACTTCATGTGGTAAAGCATGTGATGTTTAAGTGTTAGCTTTGTCACCACCATTATTTGTGGGAACAGGACAGGTTCTGAAAGCTGCTTATACCCGTTGCTCATGCCCCGGTTGATATTTTCTTTCTTTTTTTCTTTTTATTTTGAGACAAGAGTCTTGGGTAGAGTGCCGTGATGTATAGCTCACAGCAACCTCCCCTTCTTGGGCTCAAGTGATCCTGTTGCCTCAGTTTTTCTATTTTTAGTAGAGACAGGGTCTTGCTCTTGCTCAGGCTGGTCTCGAACTCTTGAGCTCAAGCAATCCACCTGCCTTGGCCTCTCAGAGTGCTGGGATTATAGGCGTGAGCCACCACACCTGGTGATATTTTCAAGAATACATCTTATCTGACTTGCTATCATGTTCTTTCTCAAATTTCTGTCCTGTAGGAGTTGAAAGATCTCCGAAAACAAAGTGAAATCATACCTCAGCTCATGTCAGAGTGTGAATATGTTTCTGAGAAGTTAGAGGTGAGCAGGGGAGGGGCATGCCGGTCCCCGCTCAGACAAGAAGGCAATTGTCCTATCACTCAATTCCTGGCTCCCTCTCACTTCCACACCTAGGAGAAGGTGGCCACACTGTAAAGAAGGGCCATTTTCCCTCTGTCAAAAGCTGGCTGCACTTGCAGACTAGATGGCACCCTCCCCCCCACCCCGCTGCCCCCGCCACTTCTCCCAATCCTACCCCGCCAGACTCACCAGGTGTTTGCAAAGTGCAGCAGAGAGGTGGCCTGTGACACAGACTCCTCTAGGCCCCCCGCCCCCTTACGGGCACTGCATTCTCCACTCTGTTTTGGCCTCGGGATTCAGGCCTCTGAGTTTCACCAGCTCACGGGTTGAGCCGAGGCCCCAGCCCGCAGGTCTGACAGACATGGATGGCTCCCACCTTGTGCTCCAAACCCTGTACCTTCTATCTCCTCAGGCAGCTGAGAGAGACAACCAAAACCTAGAAGACAAAGTCCGCTCTCTCAAAACAGACATCGAGGAGAGTAAATACCGGCAGCGCCACCTCAAGGCGGAGCTGCGGAGCTTCCTGGAGGTGCTGGACGGCAAGATCGACGACCTCCACGACTTCCGCCGAGGCCTTTCCAAGCTGGGCACTGACAACTAGCGCTGGGCCACGTGGGGTGCTCGTGAGTCCCGAGTGTGTGTGTGAGACGAGCTTGGACCAGGACATTCTCCTGTCGCTTCTGTAAATGCAGGTGCAGTCTGCTGTGTTTCCAAACCAGTTGTGCCGTCCACTTACTCCTCTCCAGAACAGAAATCTCCTTTCATTTCTCCAGCCTTGTGAGGGTGTGGACAACTGGAAGATTCTGACTCAGGAATCCAGAACTAGGTCTACCTTAAACATTTACACAGTCAGGGCAGGGATGTTTATATCTTTCTTAAGGGCTGTTGCAACCATATGAACTAAAAAAAGTACATGTATTTTCTAATCCAAATACCAATATCCTTTACACCAGGACATTTGGCTCCTTTTATTGACCAGCATACTCTGGACATCCACCAAGACCAGTCCCTGGGGGCACAGAGAGAACAGCTTCCCTTTCAGTAAACTCTGAGATACGTTAAAGCAACCCTTTAGTAGAGACTTATCCAGAGAAAGCAAACAAGCTTTTGGTGGGCATGTTTTCTGGCATGGTGGCCACCGGCATCACTGTACTCCCCAGTTTGTACGGTTGCGACATTGTTCCTTTCTTGGTTTTAATTTCTGAGCAAATGATTGTGCTGTGGGAGTAGCACTCGGTGAGGGTGCCTGGCACAGTGCCTGGCATGAAGTAGGTGCTTAATAAATATTTGTTCAATTAAACATTTAAACAGAATTTAGTGTTTTAATCAAATCCTGCAACAGAGTTTAAACCCCTGCTGAGTGCTGCACCATCCCATCCATAATGGTCTGCCCTAGGAGTCTATGGCCCCAAGACCAGCTGCTTCTCCAGGCAAGGTGTCCTGTGGCCTGGGAATTCCAGGACCACTGGCTATCTGTGGTATAGGGGAGACCTAGGGCTTGGGATCTAGGGTGGGATCCTATTATGGGTTTGTACAATTGAGAATAACTCATACAGGCCTATGAGGAAGAGAGTTGGTCGGACTAGGGAGCCTGGGCCCTTGCAGGGGAGCAATCCTGTCCAGCCCTTCCCTTTCTCAGTCCTGCTGAGGAAAGGACTGGAGCCATAAAGCCCTCCTCTCTTCCAGAGCTGCCCAGTGGAGCCAGTGTGCATCTGGGTGCTACCGGCTCCCTTCATCCAGGAGAGGCTGCTGTGCGTGGCAAGATGCTGTGAGTCCTTGGCTCTGCACAGTTCTAAATGCCAGAACTCCCTCAGGAAACATTTTCTCATGGTTAAAGTTTCTCCCTGCTGAATTTGGATTCATGAGCAAATAGTCTGAGGAGGGGGCGGAGTCTGCAGAGATGTGACCTGGGCCCCAGGTGAGCAGCCAAGTCCTGCCCTCTCCTTCCTGGCACTGAGAGGGCTCCCTAAGCCAGGAAGTCTTGTTTAGGATGAGGATAGAAGACAAGGCTGATGAGCACCAGGGCACTTTAGGGGAGGCTCTACATGCTGGTAGGGGGCCCTTGGCAGGTAGGAAACAAAGTATAGTCAAACTACGTGCTGTGGGACCTGCCTTTCCCCAGGGCTCTGCACAGCTCCCAGGATAGTTGGTAGCAGCTTCCCACTGGCTGTGCCAGGAGGCCAAAGAGCTGGCCTGGCCAAGAGTCAGCCCCATGGCTTAGAAGAGAAATGAGGGGATTCTTCTCAAGCCTGCCTGGTCTCCTTATCTGTAGACTGGGTGTGTGGCTGCCCAGGAGCATAGACTCTGGGAACCAAATACCCCCAACCCGGGTCTTTAGATGACCTCCACCTCTATAGGTGACTTAGCAATCCACAAGGAGCCGTCTCAACTGGCTGGAGCTCGCTCAGCTGACACAGTCATCATAGAGTAGTGGCTAAAGCTGCTTAAGCATTTCGGTGTCAGTGACTTTAACAAACACTGGAAGTGGAAGTGCAGGAAACATAGAAAGCCAGTACCAGGGAGGGCCACTGAGACATCAGCACCCACAGTCCCCACTCACCAGCCTCTGCAGAGTTAGTGAGAATCTTGTTCCTCATAGTCTGCATCCAGTTCTAAAACCGCAGCCTGGGAGCACAGTCGTAGGGACTCCTTTAAAGGGAAGGGTAAGGCTTGGCGCCTATAGCTCAGTAGCTAGGGCACCAGCCACATACACCAGAGCTGGTGGGTTTGAATCCAGCCTGGGCCTGCCAAACAGCAATGACAACTAAAACTAAAAAAATAGCCGGGAGTTGTGGTGGGCACCTGTAATCCCAGCTACTTGGGAGGCTGAGGCAAGAGAATCACTTAAGTCCAAGAGTTTGAGGTTGCTGTGAGCTGTGATGCCACAGCACTCTACCAAGGGTGACATAGTGAGACTCTGTCTCCAAAAAATAAATAAACAAATGGAAAGCTAAGTTGGGTTTGGCAATGAGAGCACAGCAACTTTATAAAAGCAACTATCCATTCCTCTGCTTTTCTTTGAAGACTCTTAGTGTTTCTTCATTTACATTCTTTAAAATAATAATGATGATGCCCCAGGAACAACCGAGACAGTCAGGAGACTGACCCTCTCTGGCAGGCTTTGCCTCTGTGAATGGTGGACTTGATACAATGAAAATGACCTGCCAAATTTTTCCTGGCATTCACTTGAGCCCATGTGACATGTCCTCATTTACTCTGATGTCCACCCTAGTCTCAGCACTATTCCAAGTGTGGGCAGGACGTGGGCCCTCACTCAGGAGCATCACAGCCATGTGTCACTGCCCAGGAGCTGAGTGCCCGCAGGGTACTCAGTATCCAAAAGAGGGCTTCCGACCTTCACACTTCCAGGACCGGCTTTCTGTATCTTCATTAACGTGCTTTCTACGGCTGTGAAACCTGGGCACCAAGGAAAACTCAGAATCTTTTAACTATCAGGATCTTTAACACATTAACTGCCCTGTGAGTTGTATTTAACTTATACTAATTTTGAGCCCAGGGCCTCATGAAGCATATCTAATTCATTTGTCTCTTTTTTTTTTTTT